TTTTTTTTTTTTTTTTTTGAAGTAAGGGGTTTTTTTAAAGTAATATTTTTCAGATGAACAACGCGTCCATCTGTGTCAACTGTTTTTTAAAAACTTTTTTAAATGTTGAGAAAATTCTGATTTTACATTTACAAAAGTGTACAAAAAGAGCGGTGTTTCTCCAGCGCGATGCGGTATTTTGTTTCAACTTTTTTTTTTTATTTATTTTTTTTTTTCTATCGCTCAGATAGTTACGACTTTTAGCCAATATAACAAATATATTGACAGAAGGGAATGTTGTTTTGAATTTTATGTTAATTTAAAACCTTATTTTTTTACAAATCAATGGTAAATGCGCATGAAAAAAAAAAAAAATTACATCTCACATTTCCCCGCAAAATCCAATTGCGTATATATACTATATATAAATATTAAAAAAAATACGTATAACCTGTAGCAATAGTCCGGGAGTTGTCCGACGGTGGAGAAAAGCTCGAGGACATGTCGGTGGACGAGATGCGTATCCGACTGACGGACATGAAGCGGCTGTTCGACGAGCAAAAGAGCACAACCCTCGGGGAGATAAGCGCGCGTAAACAGCGCGCCCGTAACGCCGACATGATAGACGGGACATTTCTCTCCTGGATCTTTGGCACGGCTCTCGGGGTCATACTCAGCGTGACCCTCTACGCGTTCTACAACCTCTTCAGTGCCGTGCTCAAAAAATTTCAGAGCAAACACACCGAGCTTTAAGCTCAGTTTTTTTTTTTCTTTTTTTTTTCTTTTTTTTTTTTTTTTTTTGTGTGTGTTTGAAGCGAAAATTGAAAAAAAAAAAAAAAAAAGTTCTGCCAGAGTGACTAACTTGAGAAGGTTGCTGTTGTTGTCGTTGAGTGCGTACAACATTTCTGTCTTTTTTTTTAACTGTTTGCTTCTGTTCAATCTGTTTTTTTTCTTTCCAATTGTACATAGAAATTTAAATAATCCACGGTGTTCGTTTAATTTTTAACTTCATCCTCGTCGCTGTTGTGTATACGCGACGGAAAATCAAAGGATGTACGTTGAGTGTGAAATAAAACATGTAACATTTAATTTTTACCGTCAAACATCTTTGGATTTCAATTAATGGACGATGGGATTTCAATGAAGGTTTTCAATGCTCTTAATAAAAAAAAAAAAAAAAACATCCGATTATTTAAATGGAAATAATCGTAGTTTTTAATTGACATGTTTTTTCTTCTTTTAATTTTCCAATAGTAAACGATTTTTCAAATACAGTATTTTTAATTTAACGAAAGTTTTGCAGTTATATCATTGTATGATTCAACCAATTACAATGTGTTACTTAATTTACTGTAAACATTTTTTGCACTTAAATATTTGAATTTTTAAAATTTCTAGTCTTCCGAGTGGCACTTACTTGTAATTAAAAACATAATCGAAGAACAAAGCATCTTTTTACTTTTATAATTTTCACCTTTTGTACAAGAACCGTATAAGAATCATAATACGTAAATTGTTCAGCAGTTATTTCAATATTTATTGAAAATTATCTACCTCATGTATTATTCAATTATTTTAAATTATTAATTCATGCATGATAGTGAATACAATTAGTTTTATCCCTTTTTAAAATTAATTATTAATCAAATTAATTTAATTTAATTTTTAATAAGTATTACTTAAATTAAGGAACAAATACATAGAGATACAACGCATTTGTTGGAAAAAGTATTCGAATTTTGATAAAAATATGTTACATTTTTTATTATAGACGTTGTAATTTGTTTGTATTTTAATATGTTGTAAGAAAATGTTAAACTTTTAACCTGCAGCATACGATGTCGTATTTTATCAAGAAATATTGTTACAAACAATTATTCGTTTTAAGGTTACGACTGTTCATTATATATAAAAGTAAATATATAAATAAAATTTTTACTCACTTGATTGCTTGTATTAATTTTTATTCAAAATTAATTTTTCCTTCACTGTGATCGTGACGTAAGTAATTTTTTTATCCCTTTTGGCACGATTTAGAAGAGAAAAACCAATTTTTTAATCACTATTTGTGAAACAATATTTAATACTGTCAAAAATACAAGAAGTGATCACGAGAACACGATCTGAATACCTGCATTGACGAACATGATGTGTTAAGCATTATTAATCTTTAAGAAAAATCTGTCTGCATTTTTCGCGCTCATCTTGTAGCTGAAAAAGAAAGTAAACATTGAGACAAGTTATAAAATTTTTTTCTTTTCGCAAAAAAAAACATACTTTTTCGATTTCGTGTTTGACACTTTCTCTTTTTTTCGAATTCATCCTGATTTTTTGTTCCAGTTCGATTAGCTGAAAAAAACAACATTGTACACACGCTGGGGGTGGAAATGTATTAATTACGAGCTAATCCTGCAAATATTAACAAACAGTAATTTACCTCTTCCTGGACTCTTAACACGTCTTTGTTTATATCGTCTATTAAAATCCTTCGCTGATTTCTCAACAACAAGTGCTTTTGTGTTTTCAACGACTTATTACGATTTTTATCACTGACGGGGTCCATCGACTATTCGTTAAAGTTATCATTTTTTTATTTATTTGTTTTTTGTTTTTTCCATGAAAACGATATTACTGTTTATTAATGCTTGCATTAAATTAATACGCACATCAGTAATTACTAATTAATTTAAATATTGATCGTTATAATAAGTATTTTTCACGTACTTCGGCTTTTTTGTTTCTCACATTTTCTTCAAGATCATTAAGTTTTCCATAGACATTCTGCATGTTACGATTAAAAAGTAAAAGAAAAAGTTACATTGTGCATGATATTGTGGGAAAATGAAATAAATCGTAATAATTAAAGGGAATTAACCTCAGTCGTGTTTGCCGACAAAACCTAAAAAACAAGCATACATATATATATATATATATATATATCACACAATTCGTGTACGTAATAAATAACATAAATCGTTGGTGGGATACTAACTGATTTTTTCAAATCTTCCCGTCGACTTTTGAACTATAAAATAGAACACACGTAGGTACATAAGCGTCAGAATGAATGGACATAATTTAGAATTTAAATGTTCATATATGTTACAAGGGAGAGCGTATGATGTAAAATAACGATCCCCATGAGAGATGTTTGATAAATAATCAAATTGAAAAAAAAAGAGGTTACCATCATCATTAAAAAGCCAGAGATGCACACGACGACGAACCCAAAGATCCACAGGAGCTTGAGGGCACAGCATTTCAAAACGTAGGGCCATATCATACTGTAAATTTGTAGACTCATTTTAAGAAATATTTACGCACGAAAAGGGATGAAAAAAAAAAATAATAAAAATAAATAAATAAACGCGCGCAAGCTGCATGCACGTAAACACTTTTTTGACAACACGATACACATCATTCTTGCAGTAAACAGATGAAAGCCGTAACGTATTCGATTTTTTAAAAATCCCGTTTGATTTAAATACTGGTATAATAACCAAAATCGTGAATCAAAGATTTCTCAAATCGAGGAATCCATATGGGGGTGTAGCTGCGATCGACACTTATTTTGCACTGATAATTAAATTTTCGATACACTCAAAAAACAATACAACACCAACCTTTGGAATTGCACTCATGAAACACGATTGATACACGTATACTTGCAATGTTAATATTGAAGCGAAAAAAAAAAAAAAAAAAGAAAAAAAAAAACTAGTTCCGGTGTTTACAAGTACGGTATTTTTAATAACGAAAAAGACTTTTCGCAGGGCGTCAGAAATTTGTCGCTTTTGAATTATTCTCTTATGTGCCCCCCTCTCCCCTCCAGCCAACGTTTGATAAGCGAAAAGCGTCTGCTCGTCTAGGAGCAGACGACGCCCCTGTGCATAAAGACTGCATCATCATCAGCTGCATGATCTTATATAAATAGAAACGCCGAAAGAATATAATACCCGAAGCACCAAGTAAGAGTCGTCGACATGATATTCCAGAGGGTGATCCGCGTGGCCGAGAAAATCGGTAAGGCAATTAAACCGAGTGATCTTTACGCGCAATAAAAAAAAAAAAAAAATAAATAAATAAATAAAAAACTCGTATAGTGTAATACACACGCGAGTGCGGGCATATATAAACAATAATCGATTAGCCGAAATCGCGGATTAATGTTCCACCACCGGCAGCTACTGCAACGTTTGCACCGAAGATGCACCATCACCACGTCGGGACCCGTGTGCTTGATCAAGCTGGAGAGGCTGCGCTCGCTGCATCTGTCAACCAGCGTCAACAACAACAGCGGCCCGGCCGGCTTCGAAGCAACAACAACAACAACAACAACAACAACGGCAGTCCTGCCTTCGCACTCTCAGATCGTGATAGCAGGCGCGGGCACGGTCGCCAACTCGGTGGCCTACCACCTCGCCCAGAACGGCTGGAGCGACGTCCTCGTGCTCGAGCAGGATCGCGTCGGTGCCGGGAGCTCGCACTTTGGCTCCGGGACCCTCGGGCTGTTCAAGCCCGTATCGCACCGCAATCTCGTCTCGTACAGCATACGGCTCTACCAGCGGCTCCACGAGATGGGCTACGACATCGGGCTCAGGCAGTGCGGTAGCATCAGTCTCGCGCAGACCAAGGACAGGATGGTGGCGTTCAGGCGGCGCATGGCCTACAACGTACCCACCGGCCTGCACTGCGAGGTTGGTGCGTTTGTGTTAACACACATGTGTACAGACCCGTTGGGACTGCAATTTGGAGGATGGAAACAAACAAAGAATTTTGTTGGCAGGTCCTGGGTAGGGAGGAGCTGAGGAGGATGCATCCGTACTTGCAGGTGGACGACATCGAGGGTGCCATTTGGGTGCCCGAGGATGCGGTCGCCGACTCCGTGGCGATATGCGAGGTCCTGGCCAATTTGGCGAAACAAGGTGGGGTGCGTTACATCGAGCACTGTCGGATCGAGCAGGTTTACACGGATAACGGGGCCGTCAGGAGAGTCAAGACCAACCGGGGCTTCGTCGAGTGCGAGTATTTCGTCAACTGCGCCGGGATGGCGAGTACTTGTGTTTATATAAAACAATTATTGGATTTGGCCTCGGTTGACAATTTTAACTTTTTTCCCCTCTCTCTCTCTCTCTCTCGTTCGTTGTTGGTTGCATATAGTGGGCTAGGGAGTTGGGCCTACGGTGCAATCCACCCGTGAAGATACCCGTCTACCCAGCGGAACATTATTATGCCATCGCAGCACCCTTATCCTTGGAGACGACGTTGAATCTGCCCTGCGTGCGCGACTTCGACTCGTACTCGTACATGCGCGAGTGGCAGGGTACGGCAATGTTTATATTACGGATTACTTGAGAGATAAAACTTGTATTGATTGCGATCGATGATGATTCTCACGGTGTGTACATAATGCGTGGTATATACTCACGTTTGACGTAAATATCTTACAGGTGGAATCTTAGCCGGGTGGTTCGAGCCGGAAGCGAAACCGGCTTTCGGAAGCGGGGACATTCCCAAAGTTAACTGGAAGCAGCAAGTAAGAGTCGATCCTCAGCACTGGAGACCGCTGTGGGACAAGATCGTGCACAGAATGCCCATTTTGGGGGAAGCAAAGGAACCTTTCGTCTACAATTGTCCGGACAACTTTACTCCCGACGGCAGGTGGATCATGGGCGAGTCTTCTGAGGTGAAAAACTACTACGTCGCCGTTGGCATGAATGGAAACTCTCTCCAAGGTGCGTTGACCCACGCACTTTCCTTTTAGATCACGTTTTTAACAATTAAATAGGCGCGTAATAATACGAAGATGAACATGTCCCTTCAGGAGCCGGAGGAATCGGCAAAGAAGTCGCCGAATGGCTGATAAACAGCGAGTCCACGCAAGAGCTGCTGCCCTTTAACGTGCAGCGATTTACGGATCTGCACACGAACAAGCAGTACCTGCAACAACGAGTCCGCGAAGTCGTCGGTCGCAATTACGCGATACTCTATCCGCACCAGTGCGAGTACAAGTACGCTCGGCAGCTACGGTGTTCGTCGCTTTATTCCGTCCTCGAAGAGCGGGGTGCCATATTTGGCATCAAAATGGCCTACGAGCGGCCACTGTACTTCGACTCGACCTATAAAAGTACGTGATGTGTGCGTGTGTGTGTGTCTCATGGATTTTCATGGATCGATCGGGACACTTTGTTTTTTTCCGTAGGGGGCCAAAGGAAACCGGTGATGCCTCCGGGCAGCTTTTACAAGCCCAAGTTCTTCGACTTCATGAAGCAAGAGTTCACGGCTTGCATAGAGGGCGTTGGTATAATCGACATGAGCTCCTTTTCCAAGATCGAGATCAAGGTATATTTAAGATTCGGTTGCATTTCCGAAAAGCCGCACGGAAATAAATATCGTTATCTGAAAAACAACAGTCCGTAGGCTTGGAGGTTGTCGATTACCTGCAAAAGCTGTGCTCCAACGATGTCAATTTGGCCATAGGGGCTATAACACACACGGGGATGCAAAACGAGAGAGGTGGCTATGAAAACGACTGTATGCTCGTGCGGCAGGCCGAAAATAGTTATTTCATGGTATCGCCCACCTTACAACAAACCCGCATTTATCGATGGATGTCCAGGTGGTGTATTTTTCAAAAAATTTTACTTAACGTTACACGATGTGATATTGAAGAATGACTCAATAATGAAGGCACCTGCCGAGCGATCACTCGGTGGGTCTGAACGACGTGACGTCCAAGTACACGGTCGTCAACGTTATCGGGCCAAAGGCTTCCCAACTGCTGTCGGAACTCTCGAATTCGGACTTGAAGCTTTCGCCATTCACCTACAAGGTGAGTTTTTTAACAGGTTCATTGTATATAACTGATTGCCGAAACCTTTGAGGATGGCTCTTTCAACACCTGCAGAGTTGCAACGTGGGCTACGCCTCGGACGTGATGGTAATGTCGTTCACGCACACCGGCGAGCCGGGCTATTGCCTCTACATCCCGTCCGAGTACGCATTACACGTTTACGCCAGCCTGATGCTCGTTGGCCGGGATTACGGGGTGCACGACGTCGGTGTCCTCACGCAGCGCTTCATGCGCCTCGAGCGATTCATACCCTTCTGGGCCGAGGAGCTTACGCCATTCGTTACTCCCTTCGAGGCTGGGAACGGGCACAGGGTCAATCTCGATGTGAGTGTTGATTGTGCGATGTATCAATGTATACAAACAAAAGGTGGTCGTGGTTTCATTAATGCTAGTTGCTTCTTTTTTCTCCAGAAAGAGTACTTTATTGGCAAGTTTGCGCTGCAGCACCAAAAGGAGCGAGGCGTCATGAAGCGTCTGGTCTTATTCGTCATTAACAATCTCGATCTCAACAAGAACGTGTGGGCGTGGGGTGGCGAGCCGATTTATCGAGACGGTGAATTCGTTGGCACCGTAACCTCGGCCGGGTACGGTTTCAACTTGAAAAAGCTGATATGCCTCGGCTTTATCAGCCATCCGGGCAACTTGCAGGCTCAGGACGAGAGAAGGATCGTGACAAATGAGTTTGTGACGGACTCGTCGGTTGTCTACGAAATCGACATCGCCGGCCATCGGTTTCCCATGACGCCGCACATACGCTCGCCCGCCCTGTCGGGATACAAGATGAGCAAAAAGTACATACCGACTCCCATTGTGTCATATAAGAGCGATATTTCGCACTAGGCGTACATAACACGTTAAGAAGTGATTTTTTTTTTTTTTTTTTTTACAACGTACTTAACTATAAGTTTCTGGGGAGAGGTTTTCTGTAGACGGTATTTGTGCGATTACTCTAGTCAATTTGTGTGTATAATGAAGATTTGTTTTTTAACATATAGTTTTTAATGTACTGCGAGATTTTTTTTTAACCTGTTGTTACAAATTTATAAAGGGTATACAAGAAAAGACACAGTTCAGAAAAAACAAGTAAAGTTTATTGTAGGAACACAACTCGACGAATATATCTCTTTTAAGAAAATGTGAGCATAATGGACCATTAAAGCCGGATACTGTCACGCATTTCCATACGCAATGAACATATTAAAGCAGCACATAAACACCTAATAATGTGCAATTAGTTTAACTATATAAAAATTATATTAAATTTTACTACATTTTTTAAGTTTGAAATTTTTAAAAGTCTTGCGGATCATAGCATGATGGTTAAGTGTTACTCTACACCATGTACGATCTATACTGTAACATTACAGTAATATTTCTTCTAACAAGGCAATATCGAAGTGTTATATTCCTAAGGATAAGAGCTGATAAAGTAAAAATTGTCAGCTTTAATAAAAGATTATAAATACAAAGTAAGGCTTAAAATAGCACATTTTGATATATTTTTATAAAAATTCTGTGATGTTCAACCAAAAATATAATGTATCATGTTACATTACATTTATTAAAATTTATGTTTAGCAAATTGAACCATAGATTTGTTCGAGTATTTAATTAATAAACTATTTCAGCTAGTAATCCAAAAAAATTATAACTATGTACATCATTATGATAACAAACTTATAAAGCGATCACTACTCATTTTCAAAAGACCTTCCCATTAGATTCATCTCCACAAATGGTTTTGCATTATTATGCGTAGTAATATTTTATACATCATCAGTATTGTGTTAGAGCATGTTAATTGTACAATTTACGGTTGGTAAGTTCCAATTTATGTGCACCACGTCATCAACAATTAATAATAATACAAGGGACATTACTAGTGCAATAAAATATCACAGATGTCCTTTTTTTATCATCATTTTGCACGAATTCAGAGGTGACTTTCAATTACTGAATTGCCCAATCCTTAATTTGCATTTCATTTTTTTTGGCTTTATGTAAGATAGATTCGACATCTGGAATTGATACAAGTCACATAAGTTACGTACTTTTTTTCATACAACATTATCTTAATTAATTATAATGGTGTGCCATGAATTTGAATATCACAAGATATTTAATGAAAGAAAATAAAGACAATAAGCCATGAAATTAACAGCTAATATTTTAATTAGTGATTAGTTCGAAATTTTGTCTTAATAAGGCACTTCTGTATAGTATCCGTGCCCAAGACGTGCAAAAATAATATTTTTAACTTTTTACATTACAATTGGCGACATAAATCTTTTTATTTACCTCTTTCAGAGGTAATCTACATGCATGAAGCAACTTTACCAGGAATCGGAAGAAGGAAGTGATAACTATCATGTTTCAATAGTTTTTAAAATATTTCTTTACAACACATTTTATTAGAAACTAGTTTACCAGTTTTAGTTTTTCAAAAATTTTAAAATCGTAGTACGTTTCAGGATAATTAAAACAAATGTTAAATAATTTTAGTTTCTTAAAAGCTTTATAGTATGTACAAGGAGGAAAGTAGTGAATGATATAGAAATCTGTACATGAGAATAAAATTCTATTCTTTAAGTTCTGACCTTACTATGCCGAGGCCCATTTTTCTAGGTCTCTGAGTTCATCGTCTGATTCTTCTTGTTTTTCTAAAAAAAAAAAAAAAAAAACCACAATGATTTAACCAATAGATTATTGAATTTTTTGTAACTTCCTTGACACAAACAACAACTCACTTGATTTTTTGGATGTTTCTGGTACACCTGTAGGAACGGACGGTAACTCGTCTGTACTCTGTATACCCAATAATTCTTTGTCCAGCTCTTCTTGTTCTAATTCCTCCAATTCTTTTTCTAGTTCATCTTCATCGATATCTTGGCCAAATGCCACTGGATTTGAAATCGCATCTGAAATCTCTCTTGCAACATCCTGTTGCTCAGCTATGTCATCCATCATATCATGCACTTGGTCAACATCCCTAGAATCCACATAAAAGCTCATTAGGTGATATATTATGTACACTGCATGTCAATATATACATTAAAGATTTTTAATTAGATCATTCATTTTGATAGAAATTTTGAAGATTTATAAGACCGCTTACATGTGTTGATGGGCTGCTTTCAAAGCATCAGCTGCACTTTTCATCGTAGTGAGCACATTGGTATTTGTGTTTGCACTCTCCAGTGCTTCTCTCTGCATTTCGATTGTGGATAGTGTTCCATCGATTTGCTGTAATTGTTTTTCATAACGCTTTTTTCTTTTCAGTGCTTGAATAGCAGCTGCAACATAAAAGACAGACAAATAATCTAACGAGTTCAGTTTAGTTAGTAACATTTTTTTCCCTGTCAGTTATGTTTGTTTACTATGGTAATTTATAGTTAGAAAGTACAAGATCTTAATACCACAAAGTACATACTCAATTGATAATTAAATAAAAATGTAGTAAGTTGTTTCTAATCAACTATCGTTATTGGCATTATAGTTTTAGTTTAATATGCACAGAAATTTCTTGTGATTTACAACGAGTTTTAAGGTGTTTTTGAGCAAATTACCAATTTTCTAAATTTTGAGAATAGAGGAATCCAAATTTTTAAAAAGATCAATAAATCTAGAGAATCAAGGGTTCACAGACGGCGTAGGTGTACTAAGTGGCGACAGTGCATTATCTCATGAAGTATAAAAGTTAACATGAGTCATTGCGATGAGAATGACAGCTGATTGTTGCAGGGGACTCGGAAGTGCAGGAGAGAAAGAGACAGAAAGGAGAGACGTGAGTCAAGTGATATACCTAGGATGTACTCAGAGATATGGATGAACAAACAAATGTTGACAACGAGTAAGTACTTGGACAGTAAAGTAGGCAAAGGTGCGAACAAAACAAAACAACTCTGACCTCTCTTGTTGATCTTTCCGTTCTTCCTGGCAGTCTGTATCTCTTGTGTGATCTTGCTCTCCAGGAAGTCCTGCTTCTTGACTAGCATCTCCTCCGTCTCCCGGAGCTTCTGTATAGCCTCGGAGGTCGTCGGGGCGGGCGGTTCCTTCTTGCCCCCGAAAACTTTCGTGAAAAAGCTCATCTTGCTTCTGTGTGAAGTGGATTCCTACAGTTTTACCTTAGAGCAAGAGTTATACCCAAGAGTGTACGGTGCCTAACTACAAGTGTCCTTATGTACTACTTGGTAATGATGATGACAGTGACGGACTACGGAGAGAAATCGGGAGAGGGTTAGGTCGTTCCGAAGCCGTCGACCGACTAAGTCCGGAATGTAGATATATACTGATAAAGAAGTAAGTGCAGAATAGCAGAATGCAGAATTATCAAATCAAACGCACAGAGAATGCGATAGCGCGCGCAGAATATGCTCAAAGGATATATACATATATACAACATGCGGCCACATAGACGCATCTATACACACGTTTGACGTCCGTGAAAATCCGTGCATGCTATAGTTCTTTGCTGCCAAAAAGCATAGCCATATAAAAAATAGACTGCTAAGTAGAAAGAGACACAATATCGAACGTGTATATCTGTCTCTCTTCCACGTTACCAACGGTGCTACGGTGGGAAAGCTCATCGACTGTCTGCATATATATCATATATGGAGGGTATTCAAAAAGACAGGGCGCACGGGCGCACACTTTTGGAGCGTTCCAAAAGCTAAAATTGCGTGCACCTGAACTGCTCTAACTTATAAGAGGATACACATTGTGAAGGGAGCTTTATAAAACCAATATGTATATATATTGTGTATGTTTAGGTGTTGTACATACATAGGTTATTTGAATTTAATTAAAGTTTTTTGTTTATAAAGGATCCTTCACATTAATAATTTCAGACTCATCACACAAGTCACCTAAAATCTACTCAGCCGGTAACAAATCTGCACTTTAGACGCGCGCCTACGATTTTCAGCTCTTGGAACATTGGAACGCTCCAAATTCCAAAAGCATCGATCCAGGCGCACGCGCACCCTGCCTTTTGGAAGTTTTGGACTTTTGGAATACTCTCATGGTATATATATATATGGAATCCATGGGGTGTTTTCCGCAATCGTCAATCGTCACCAGCAAGTGACAGTGGGTTGCGCTCTACGTTACCGTCAGGTCGGTAAGCCAACTACCTTGAATCAACTGGCGCTCTGTTCCATAATCTGGCCAGTTAAAACAGCAGACGACAGTCAACAGCGATGAAATCTTCACTTTTTTCTTGATGACTTTCACGTCGTCTGCTGTTTTAACTGGCCAGATTACGGAATAGAGCACCAGTTAATTCAAGGTAGTTGACTTACCGACCTGATGGTAACGTAGAGCGCAACCTTAAATTACTTGCTGGTGACGATAGCGGAAAACACCCAGAGATGCAGTTGCGGAACAGAGCACCAGTTAATTCAAGGTAGTTGACTTACCGACCTGATGGTAACGTAGAGCGCAACCTTAAATTACTTGCTGGTGACGATTGCGGAAAACACCCATCGATTGATGCATGCATGATGCTTTATATATATATATATATATACACATATATTATTTATATATATATAAGATGAGTTACGCATGGTGGCATGGTTGCCAGCGCTAGCAATGCTAGCATATACCTGTACTAACTGTTCCGCATGTAAACAAACTTCGAAATTTTTTGCTGTTTTCACTCCCATACTTATCCCCATGCCACCCGATATTTCGAAGTTTGTTGATGCGGTCATGCGAAACCCACCGAAGGTTGACGCTAACACTGCCCGACCATGTGGCATTACAACGACTTACGAAACTTAACTGCTGGCAGCATTTGCGGATTACAGCTTCTGATTTTATACGGTGCAAGATATACGTGAAGTTATGTGTAGTAATTATAGTAATCACTTCTAAGTAGTGCCATTTGGTCGATTTTATTAAATCATATAAGTAGAATACTTATATTTTTAAAGGTCATTTTTCAGGTAAAAAATTTATTGTAAACTTGCCGCAAACAGCACAAACAACGACAATTTTTTATTGCTTATCTACATAATTAGTTGCGGCTGGTATATAGTTAATAAAGTGGCTCTACTGTAAGTATTGTAGTAATAGTTATTTGGATCAGCGCCATCTAGCGGTCTTCATTTTTGAGCGAAAAGTGGCCTCTAAAATTATCAATCAGAGCAATCAGGATTAGAGCTATTTAGTCAATTATAAACCAGCCGCAACTCATGATGTAGCTATAAAATAAAAAAATAATAATACATGCGTTTTTGGCGGCAAGTTAACAATCTATTTTCTACCAAAAAATCGACCTCTTATGTATTTTTATCTTTAAAGATAAATTTTTAAGCATAAGATAAATTGTTAACTTGCCGCCAAAAAGACATGTATCGTTATTTTTTCATTTTATAGCTTCATCATGAGTTGCGGCTGGTTTATAATTGACTGAATGGCTCTTATCCTGATTGCTCTGATTCAGAATTTTAGGAGCCACTTTTGGCCAAAAAATAAAAACCGCTAGATGGCGCTGATCCAAAATAATTATTGCTACTTACAGTAAAGTCACTTTATTATTTATAAACCAGCCGCAACAAATTTTATAGATAGATAATAAAAAGTTAACATTTCTTATGCTACTTACGGCAAGTTTACAATACGTCTTTTACCTTAAAATCAACCTTCAAAACCATCAATATTCTACTTCTCTTACATGGCTCATAAAATCGACAATATTTACAAAATTACAATACTCTTGACCTTTTACCATTAACTAATGAAAGAGCAGCCCTTCAACTTTAGATTTCCAATAAACAGTTAACTTATATAATATGTACATAGCAAAATTTGTGTTACAGAAATCGTAAATCACGATCAAATATACATCACGTAAATTAATCAGTCAGAGCACTCAGAGCCCTTAGAGTGCTACAGCCAAACGCATGCGCGCTAACTCAAAACGAACGCTCGTGCACTCGGTGCACTCGTGCGCTCGTGCGTTTCGTCAGAGATTAGAAGTCTAGTCTCTGGTTTCGTTTCCCTCCCGCTTCAGTAGACGCCCAGGCGAGAGCACTGGTGCGAACTTTACTTTACGTGGACATACTTCATTTGAAAAAGTAGCGTTTTTCTTAAAAATTCCTAACCTTATATCCACGTAATTACGTGGATTTGGTGCGAATAGACACAGCGTTGAAATTAATGTTATTTTGTAATAATTTGAATCAGATACTTTTACTATTGATGCTAAAAAGGTTAGGTGCTCAATAAATTGGTCTTATCCAACCAAAATGATTTGTTCCCAATTTCATCGTTTTTCAGATCTCATATTTGGCTGTAAACTAAAATGTCATCATGGAAAAAAGCCGCCAAGGCATCACAAAAAACGCACAGGGAGCGTCACCAGCCAGAAGCTCGCAAATTTTTAGGTCTTTTGGAGAAAAAGAAGGATTACGTGGCAAGGGCTAGAGACTACAACGAGAAACAGGCCACCTTGAAGCAGTTGCGGAAACGTGCCCTGAATAAGAATCCCGACGAGTTTTATTTTCATATGATCAATGCCAAAGTAAAGGATGGCATTCATCAAGAGAAGGACATGGAAGAGAAATACACCCCAGACCAAATCAAGCTCATGAAAACCCAGGATTTAAAGTACATATCTTACAAGAGAAATTTGGAAAGAATGAAGGTTGAAAAGCTTCACAGCACATTGCACATGATTGATGCTGCAAATGAAGTTGAAAACCAGCATATATTTTTTGTGGATGACAGTGAGGATGTTAAAAATTTTGATCTTTGCCAAAGGCTGAATACACATCCAGCTCTGTTAAACCGACGAACCAACAGGCCAAGACTGGATGCATTACAAAAGATGAAACTGCCCGAACTAGACGAATCCACTTTGCACAAGATCGAACAGAGAAAGCTACAGGCTTACAAGGAGTTGAGTAAGCGCGTGGATCGTGAAAAACAATTGACTGTCGTGCAGCAAGTGTTGGAAGTGAAAAATGCTTTGAGGAATCGAAAGGTGACACAACCAATACAAGTTAAACGTGGTTCGAAAGACAGTGCACCCATCTACAGATGGAAGTACGAAAGAAAGAGATAAAGGTAATAATTTTCAACTGAAATGATACAGTGTAAATAAAAAAATTATACATTTATTTCGTAATAATTTTATCAATTTTGTAAATACAAAACTTCATATAAAAATATACCAGACATTAACGACACTTGTTTTTATTTTTACCAATTATTTTAAATCACTTTTATTTCTTAGAACTATTGAAGTTGCCTTTGAAAATAAGAGTATCACGATATGTTTCCCTGCTTTTTAATGACTGTTTTCTCACTCCTCGATGATCAATTAGTGCTGGTACTGGTGGTGATTGGTCTAGAAAAATGTTGGGTCCTTGGATAATCATTGGGCTTTCATGTTGATTTGTTTGTGGGTAAAAATCAGAGCCCTCCATTGATTCGTCGTGTATAACGATGGCTCCTAGTGGATCTTCCGTCGTTGTAATTGTAGGCTTAACTGATGTCGCTTCTACTCCATCATTTAAGTCAACTTGATCGCACGTATCCTCTGGTAATCCAAATGTAATTCTGGACGATTTGTAATAGCATTTTTCAATCGTCTGTGGGTTTCTGATCCTTGAAATTATCATGTTTTTGGATTTTGTAATGCATATCTTGTAAGCTCGCTCGCATCTATTAGATTGATGTAAGATGTCAAACACATCGATGTTCCGTGTTTTCCTTTTCAATCTTTTAATACCTATTCTTCTACTTACATTTGACGTACCAATATGCACCGCTGTTAAATTCTTATCATCACTTGCAGCAGTAACAATTTGGCTCAGATCATCCGATAAATTTTGAGTGTGTAAAGTCGTCTCATTCGATTTTACTTTTGGCTTGAAGCTCACTGGTTTGTCCATACTCTGTAACAACGTATTTTCTGTGGATGTATCATACACAGGTATCAGTTTTGTGGGACCTTTTGATTTTTGTTTCACTTTAATTTCTTCAGGGACTTCAGTTGAATTTCGTATTTCTTCGTTTATCGCCGAGATGACATTGGTTTTCTCTGTTGTAGGTACCAACAGTGGTAAATTAAACGATTCTCCAGCAAGTGAAACATTAGAATTTTCACTCGTCGCCAATGGACCCGATATTTGCCGTTTTACTGTTTGTTCAGTAACTTCTTCCGACACTGCTCCAAACATTTGCTCAAAGTTAGGAATTTTCAAAATTTGCTCCACTATACCAGATAACTTTCTAAGTGGACTCATTAAGGGTTTGTCAGCAGAGGCTTGTTGTACCATTGAACTTAAATTTGCCGGTGCTCCATTGGGTACCTGTTCCATCATTGTGACCCCAGGCATTTTTCCCACCATTGCTGTCCCAGTTACTTGTACCATGGCTGAATTTCCAGGCACCTGTCCCAACGCGGATATCCCAGAAACCTGTTCTGTTCCTGTACTACCAGGCATTAGACTCGTAGTTGCCGCTTTAGGTGGCATTTGGGACATCATATTTGTAGATCCAGGTGTTTGCCCCATCATAGATATGCTTGATGCTTGACCCAAAGTTATACGCACTGGTACTTGTGCCATTTGCATGTTCGGCATTTGGTCCATTGGCGAAGTTATCATCAGAACACCAGGAATCTGGCCTATCACTGCACCCGGAACACTCATGGGACCCACCATTCCAGGTGCTTGCCCCATAACCGAGATTCCCGGCATTGCTGACATCGTCACCTTTGAAGGCACTTGCATCATTTGTTGTTGCATACTGGGCATTTGGCCCATTTGTGCAATCATAGACATCTCTGGCATTTGTCCCTTGACAGTGATTTGTGGCATTATTGCCTGTGCTGGCATTTGCATCGTTTGTGGCTCACCGGGGAACGGTCCCATCGGCACGCCAGCCATTGGCGCATTACCGTTCATTTGTCCCTGTCCCATAGAGACACCAGCCATTGGCTCATTACCACTCATTTGTCCCTGTCCCATAAACATACCAGCCATTGGCACATTACTGTTCATCTGTCCCATTACTCCTTGTGTTTCTGGGGGTTTTGCATTCATCATGACCTGATGTCCCATTGGATTCGCCTAATTGAAAATATGCAACAAAATACATTACTATTTCTGCTTCATTGGTACATTACATAATACCTTACTGATGTAACTTAATTGTTGTCATGAATTTAAGATTCTTTGCGGTAAAAAATTTTTTTTTTATTAATCGTTGTTAATTAATTTGTCACGAAAACTCGGTCAATATAAACAATTTTGACTTTGTTTGCAAAAACAAATAAGCATGCTCAAGTGTAGCTAGGGATATATCGGCTGTATGTGTTATATTGTAACTTCAATGCGTGCAAATAATGATNACATTTGTCGGATGAGGTTTTCGTTGTATCGGTGATGTCTTGCTTATTTGAACTGAAAAAATTTCGTCCCAAAAAATATTTAATAAAGTAATATGGTAGTAACAACAAATTAAAAAAATTATCAAAATACATTCATTGACATTCGTTACGATTTTATTAAACACATTTAAAAATCTGGTATTGATTACTGTGAGAGCGTTGACTCGTTCCGTTATCAACTTTATCAGAAGTTATTTGTTTGCAAAAACAAATAAGCATGCTCAAGTGTAGCTAGGGATATATCGGCTGTATGTGTTATATTGTAACTTCAATGCGTGCAAATAATGATGGAACAAATCGTTTTGTATTTGAACAGATAATCAGTGAGCTGATCGGTGCATGGGGGGGGGGAGACTGTTCATAAAATGTTTTTTGTTTTTTTTGTTTTGTCAACCCTCGTTTGGGTCTCTAAAATCGAAAAATAAAATTAACCATCGGTCCACCGGTCACCATCTGCGCCTTCACTGCGGTAGGCTGAGTCATCGGCGTGGTCGCCTCGGTGGGTGGCGTCGCAGTGCTCGGCTGCAGCTGAGTCGAGATGCTGCCGCAGCTGAAGCGGATCTGCCAACTTTCCTTCTTCGAGGTGACCTCGAGGCGCGGGCAAACTGTGATGGACCTGGTGTGCAACGATAATCCTTAATAAATGTATGTGCATATACGCTATGCAGGGGGGGGGAGTTGCTGCGTTTTGTCCTTTGGTGAATATTAATTACCGATGTCATGATTAAACAAAAGGGACGTTTTTTATAGATCGAATGGTACTTTTTTTCGTAAGAAAAAGAGCACAACCATCATTTAGATGACGTAATAAAGCAAGGTATACCATGTTTGTGCTTTGATTTGAAAGAAAAAAGGAAAAAAATTTAATTTTCCACCGAAAATTGTTTAAACTCGCTCTGATTTTATCTCGGGCACTTTGGTGCGTCTTAACTTAAAAATTGCAATTGACCGTTTGAAAAATTTTTCGCAGTTGATTAAAAGTTATTATAAATTTCTTAAAACAACTTGATACGCAGCAGTGACTCGCAATAAATTGATGTGAGGATCAACGATGTCAATATTTTAGTTTAAATAATTGTACACTTTTATTACACGGGATGGCAAATAAATATGTGGTTTTACTTGTAAAGCGATAGGAAAAATCGGTCCTTACCTCTCGTATTGTTTGAGTTCTTGAATGTAAACGCAAATCGTTGTAAATGGCAGTCTAGGAACGGAAGAACACATCTGGAATGGCTTGTAATCTGTAAGAAAATTACATTTTTTTTTTTTTTCCTCACGTTTCATGTTACACCTGTTGTTTGTTCATCAAAGCTTTTTTTATTTATCCCATTAAAAGGTTGAAACCTTTTTTTATAATCAAATTCTTTAGCTTTATAAAAATGAATGTTGAATTTGATTTTTTGAAAAACATACAATAAAATGTATATTGCTTCATACTTGCTACAGTGATCGATTTGATGATCAAGGAGTCCAAGGATATATCCAAATTCAAGCCATTTCGCTGATAAATCATGTTGAAACAAACTGTAAAATTTTATTATGTATTATAATAATCACACATTTTTTTTTTTTTTTTTTTTCAACAAAACTAAAATTAATTTATAGTCCTTTTACTTGTACTCACGTTGTTTTTCTTGGTTGGTGTAAAAAATTTTAACCCTCTCGCAACACGCGCACGATATCATTGCAGTGCAATCGCATGTTTTTTGATTCGCAGTGATAACTGGATGTTTTTTGAAAATTATGAAACCTTCACCTTCAGCGTTATCTATTTTTAAATTGAAGAAAAAAGTCTCGTCATTAAGGAATTCGTGTGTACTTTGTATACTCGCACTGATTTTTTTTAATTATTTTTTTTTAAAACTACTGCCACTAAAACAGGTCTGGGGATCGAAAATGATCCAGGTAATGGAACTCTGGAAGGAAATATCAAACAACAGTGGGCAAGAATGAGATGTGTATACTTGAACGTAGAGTGCAGAGTTTGTTGTAAAAAAGAAGAGACATTAGAACGCATCTATCTTTTTGTGGTAATGTAATCTTAGTGAGGGGACGTGTGAATGATGTACAGAATTTGAAAAATGGCTAGATCAAGAGCCGAAGAAGGAAAACAAAAATTGTATGAAAACGAGTGAGAGCATATTATGGGTGGTATAAGTCAAAATAAAATGTACATTTATTAGCGAAGAGACTACAAAATAAAAGAAATAAATTATTATTAAGTAGAAGAATACCAAAAAGTACAAAAGATATTAAAGTATGAGTTACTTCACTATACTACATGTTTTTAAGAAATCGTCTTTGAACGCTTCAACGATTAATTTTAAATAAAATTTATCTGTTTTTCCTTACCGATTTTTCTAGTTAAACCAAATTTTATACACCCAATCAAAATAATCGCACTTAACAAAATAAGTGTCCCTAAAAACCCCATACTTCTTATGAAAAAAAAAAAAAAAAAAATCCGAAAAAAATATCCCTAAAAAGAGGCACAAGTCAAGCTTGGCTCTGTATGTATCTTGTTGAAGCGCTAACCGGCAACTGAATATGATAGTAAAAGTGTCAGCTTTACATTTATTTTTTTATTTTTTTTTTTATTACGTTGTTTTTGTAAAAGTAGGATGTGACAATGATAATATTGTGAAAGAAAATCCATTATTTAAAAAAGCCATTGAATTTATTCAGAGCACCAACGCGTTCATGCATAAGTAAATGCGTGTTTCACAATGTCACGCGATGGTTATAATCAGGTTCTTTCATGCACTGGAAATTATAATCATTTTTCACTTAAAAAAAAAATTTCTTTTTGTTGCTTTTGTTTTGTTCCCCAGTCATGTGTCACTTTCGCTGCGTAAAGGTACCATTAGACGTGCGACAGCCGTGACGTACCTATGTGTACATCGCGTGGATGTGTTTCAAACGAAATCGAGAGTCATGTGCATTATGATGTACTTGACCCACGGAAAGAAAAAAAAAAAATAAATAACGAAAAAGTCCCACTTGTTCACTTGCTATATATCATTATGATATCATTCGTTACAAAAAAAAATTTGTTACACCAAGCGAGCTCTTTTTTTTTATTCTCATTGTTCCCAAAATTTTCGTAAAATCTACAAACATATCAAATTCTAGCCATTATCCTCTGAACAATAGAAACAGCAAACACATTTAAAAATCTGGTATTGATTACTGTGAGAGCGTTGACTCGTTCCGTTATCAACTTTATCAGAAGTTACTCCGAAGTGTGGAGGGTATTGAAAGGTTATTGGGTTATTATACGACTCCGTCTCACGTAGACACCACTTCCTCATTTGAATCTACAGTAATTGGTTTTCGGGAGCTGAATTTAATCTCGCAGCCAATGAATATTCATTTTTATTTGCATACACTTTTTGGCTATGGAAGTCAAATTCATTACTTAAAACCATCCGCTGTGTTCGAGGTTTTTTTTTTTAAAGAGACGATTTTTATGTCAAAGTAAAAATTAGAATAGTAATTAACGGTGCACAATCAAGATAAAAAAAAAAGAATAAAAAAAAAAATAAATAAATATAGCTCAATACTTACATTTATTTAAACTTATATGTGGTGTTTCTTAAAAAATTTTACATTCACACTAATAGCACGTAAAATTTTAAAAGTATTACTTATTACAACGTTTATAGTGTATGAAAAAATTGTAGCAAACTGATTATAATAAAATTTATTACATGTATTGGTTTTTTCAGTAAACATTTTAATCGTAATTTTTCTACATATTGTTGGCTTCTCCATCTTCTTGGTTTAGAAACATTAAGTACATGATGAATCTAAAAGGACATAATGATTTCAACATGACTTATTGTCAGCCTATTACGTTGATATATACAGAAGATCAAAGTTTATCTCTGAAGTTTCTCAAACGTAAAAAAATAAGTGTCACTAAAATACATTGCTTATTTTATCATTCATCATTAGAAATTGAAGTGTGCTTTGGGTCACTGTGGCACTAGAATCGCGAAATTTGCTTTCAATTTTACTTCGAAAGATAAAAGTTATTTTTGTGCTTAAAGTTCAACTAATTAACATAAGTCGAAGAATCTGTACAAACATATGTGGAAGCGCTAACGTGAATAAAATAAACTCGGATTTCATTACTTTTTCAATCAATTTTTACAATTTGAAGACATCGATTTTTTGATACTTTCATTAAAAATAAACTGTAAATAAACAATTACTCAGTTTCATAAAAAATTAAAATAGATACCTTTTTCTGTATAAATATTTAATACAAATTTTCACATTTCAACCTCACAATATGGTATTATAAATATAATCAAGAATAAAAAGAAAAAGAATATCTTTATAATAACACTGTATATTTTTGACACTGCATTGTGTTTCGCGTTATGTCGAAATTCGGATTATGTACACAAATAAAATATGAAAAAATATCAGCTCTTGTTAAATCTTGCAATATTTCTATCTGTCTTATTATTAATAAAAATTTGTGTAGTGTTTTTACGATAAGGAAGAACAAAACATGATAAATACAATAGTAAATTGATCCATAGTTAATCCTTAGTCAACAAGTCGTACACACAAGAACAAAATAAGCCTTGAAACAGTAATGTTTGCCTACCAACTTCAATTTAATCATTGATTTTTATTGAAGAGATACAAGAATCTCTCAGAAATAATAACAATAAAATTTCCATACGACAGAATTATATCTTCAATTTGATAAAAAATGCATAAGTATTACATTTGCCGATAGCCGACAGTTCGGGTTCACGACTTATTTCGTTTTGATATAACATTTCTTACATTTGACTCCTGCTCGTCTTTTAGTACCATTTGGTCTTTTTCGTTCTTGGCGTAAGTACGGATCTACGTGCTCTTACGACGCAATAATTTTGTACGAATTGTTACGTTCAAAAGGTATATTTTTTAGTTGTTTCTGGTTAATGCCTTTGTAATACAACATCACATCTTTGTCACTTGATGGATTCGGCATACAGCCCGTAAGTGAAGCGCTGCTTGGTAAGTAAACCAGAGAAAAATAATTATAAAATTAATCTTATACTGCGTGTTACATTTTATGATAATTTGTTACATCGGTTTTAATCATTTTTACACGTTGACGTACAACTGGTCTGGGAGCGGCAAAGAAGATATAACCAATGATTACTTTTTGTTAGACTACAAGGCTCATGCACCTACGTTTGAAGACTTTGTCAATATGTATCCTTACATGGAAATACTTACGGAAGGAGCAGCTAACTCGGAATCAACTATCGGAGATGTAGGCTACGGTAAATTTGGGCTTTTGAAATATTCAACTCGTAATTTCATTGAAGGTCGAGTAAACGAGCACGATATTGTCAAAAGCAATGGTTATATACTCTGGACGTATACTGTATCCGTGAGAATCGGGCTGGGATTTCAGATACTTGGTTCTAGATTGATTTTGAGTCCTTATGTGCATGGGTACCTTTATAGCGTCGGAGCACCTGAAAGAATACTGCAAGTCGGACTTAAAGTTGTTAAAGTTTCTTTCATTCCAGAAAATAAAAGACGGAATGACGTCATGGATAAAGTTGTCATAAATTAATTGTAGTTTTTTCTTCCAAGTGCAGCTCCGTATAGTGTCATACTTATCTACCATTTTATCTATGGTGTAAATTTATACAAAAAAGTAAATGTTTTTTTTTCAGATTGGCACCATTACATCAATTTTTAGCTATTTTTGTGAACTATTGTCATTTACACCGTAATAATCACATTTAAGATGTAACTTTTCTTAATTTTCACAGCATCAAGCAAGTCTTACAGAAAATACATAAAATTTGGAAAGTTTGCATTTTACTTAAGATCCACAACTTTGTGAAATAATGTCAACTTTATACTATCCAGTTTGTGAAGCAGTCGTTTGCTCAAAAAATTATTAAACTAAGAAAATTTGTAAAATATAGATTATTATATGAACCGACACAAAATACATTTTAATAAAAAGTGTTTCCTAAAATACAAAATCATATTTTTGAATTTTCAGTTTATCTTATATACATTTAATAAGTATTTAATATTATCAAATAGTTTTTAGAACAACAGGTACATTTATTAAAATTTCACCACAACATTACAGGTCAGAGTAACCATGTATTTCAAAGAATTGAATTTGTTTACGTCTCGTGTAAGAACATGGTGAAAAACATATTTTTCTGCAACTAATTTGAGTTTATTGTTATTTAAGAAAAAATCCTCTCGAACTTGAATCTTTATGAGAAAGGTGAAAAAAACAAAAATCCTCTAACTTGAAACAATTTTTTTTAGAAAATTGAAAAAAGAGAAAAAAATGTCAGCAACATGAATAGTTAGACAATGAACTCAGTCACGACACGCAGAATAAATCCAGTGCTCATTAGCATTGACCGTTGCTCCCGAGTCTCACGATCACGGTGTACTTATACAATATCATGTAGTAATTTTTTGGCCCCCATCGATCAACGACTTCCTTATTACCTTAAATCTCAAGTGCACGCCATGCGTAGCACACGAGAGACAACAGACAACAGTGTTGGCTTAGCGGTGGCTCATAGCTCCTCTATCTCTTGTCTTGAACTATTACTCCTTGGCTGGTACAGTATACCTTGAAACAACAGACGTGTGTGCCATGATGTTTCGCGAATTGAAGAATTTCCATGGATTTGATTTGGTGATCAGCGTCGACGAGTCGCTAAGAAAAGCTAGACACTTCTGGGAGCTTCGGTGCCCGTTATCCATTTCACTCCTCATCGATTTTGTCTTCGAGCTGGACTTTATTTGACGTTTCGCGATTTTAATTTCTTTTTTTTTTTTTNTTAATTTCTTTTTTTTTTTTTCCACGGTGGAGTAGCTTCCGAGGGGGTTGGATGTCGAGTTATTTTTCAATACATTCGGGAAACTCACGTATATCAATTTCTTTTTTTTTTTTTTTCACTCAAGCATACTTATACCGTTTAAAAAAAAGTTTTTGTAGTTGGTGTTTATTTTGTGCCAAAGCAGTTTTTTTTTTGTGCGGAGAAAACCGGCAGAGTATTCGAATGGTAGTCGTAGTTGGAAACGATGTGATGGTTATTTAAAAAAATTTCCGATACAATTACTTGTAGTAATTGAAACAATTATATTATTGCACGAAGAATATTGTGCTTTCGACAGTTAAATTATGTATGATTGCAGTTTCAATGATATCCTTTTGCTTTCCATTGAACATGATATAATAAAATTTTCATGACAAAATAAGCCCACTCAAGACTTTTGTCTATTTATAATAATCATTTTTTTGTGAATAATTAAGCTGTGCATGTAAGGTTTTATGGCAGAGGGATTTATTATTAATTCGTGGAAGTGAAGCACAACAAAATAGAATTTAAGTTTCAAGACTCGAAGAGAAAGAACCATTTTGCTTATAGCCTTGGATTATAAATAAATTCGTTACTACAAGTGTACTTTTAAAACTTGTAGGTACTTGTGGTTCACATTTGTCGGATGAGGTTTTCGTTGTATCGGTGATGTCTTGCTTATTTGAACTGAAAAAATTTCGTCCCAAAAAATATTTAATAAAGTAATATGGTAGTAACAACAAATTAAAAAAATTATCAAAATACATTCATTGACATTCGTTACGATTTTATTAATTTAAAAATTTATTACTATCTTATTATATTTGATAAACCTTGACATTGCTTATTGAAGTGCACGTAGTTTTTAGTTCAATGGGTTTTATCCTACACTAACCGTTTTTACACTCTAGTGCTAAGTTATACATTAAAGTTAAATTCGATGTTTTGTAAAAAAATTATTGCTTACTTAAATAAATCTGACTACATCTGTGCCTTTGTCTAACAAATTCTATGGGTGACAATAATAAAAAAATAATATTATAACCAAAATTTTTGTACATTAAATAATCACCCGCACTTTTTTTTTTGTCCATCAACGGTTTAAATTGATTTTTAAGACTCTACCAATGATTTCTGTTTGTGAGATATAAAAAAATAAAAATCTTATACACGAATCATACACTTTCTCATAAGTACGAGTAATAATAATTAAAATTAACAAATCAAAAACAAAATTCGTCGGTGGTATTGGAAGGTATTTACACCTTAAATTAACAAGTTAAACGACTAAGAAGACGTATAAGGAGCTTTATATGTAAAAAAAATAAATACATAATGAGTAAAAGTAATAAATGCAAGTAATTCTACCTTGATAAGTCATTTAAAGTTAAATAAAAACGATAAAATAGACAAAAAAGTAGGTCAAGCTTTGACGATCAGTAGTCGTCTTCATCGTCATCTTCATAATCGTAGTCGTAGTCGTCTTCGTCACCAGCTCCTCCGTCAGGATCCTCGGGAAGGATTTCTATGTGGCCGAGTCCACCCCCATCCTCCGGCTTCACCAGAGCCACCCCATTTGATCCCAGCCTCAGACAATCCATACCGACCTGTTTGCGAGATGATTTTTTGAGATTTTTTGCAATTTCAGGAAATTTTTATGAAAACTGTAATTATTCATATAATTATGCTAGGAGTAACTTGATAAAATTAAATAATATCAGGATTATTTCGCAAAACTGCAGATCCGTGATATTTTACGTATTTCGTAGTTTGTAAGGTAATTCACTTCATTTTTAATATTCATTTCAAGTCATTCTCGACCAAATTTATTCATTAATTTGAAAAATTTTTCTTATTTTGGAGTACAAAATAGCACAGTGATTCTCACGCCGATAAGAAATGATATTCTGCCTAATTTAAGTAGTGGAAGCAACCGGTCAAGTGAAATAAAATTAGAATATTTTGAAAGCCCCTGTGATACAATCCCTTGTTTTATCCATACAAAAGAAACCAAATTTCTTATGAATTTCAAATACTTAACTTACAAAGCTGTACACTTGCTGTGGTGTATTTATAGAGAGACTCTTTTTGTTTTGGATTTTTGGACTAGCTAGTATACAATTATTGTTATCGTAATTTTTACACTTAGTTTATAAGAAAATTAATACAATGCTAAGCTGAAAGTTGATTATTAAATATTTTATATTTGGGGTACAATTCGTATAAAAAGTTATGATATATGTTGGAAAAAAAATGACCCACAGCTTACTCATAATTCGATAAGTATTTGACGATGAAAAAAAAAATTTAGCCTCCAATACATTACTTAAAATGTTAAATAAAAGTATGCCTTGCGAATGAAATTTTCGTGAATTAAAAACGTATTCTGTTATCATCCGTAATTTACAGTGACTCTGGTAGTTTTTTTTTTTAAATTGCTTGGGCGACGATGTATAGACACATTTATGCAAAATGAGCGTTTTCCGACAGCCGGTGCATAACATTTAAACAGTTACCTTAAACAGAATGGTATCTCGAAATTTTCCTTCCATATTAACGCAGGCGTGAACATTTCTCCCTTGAAAGTATATGTTGTAGAAGCGTATGCAGGCGGTAATCGCAGGTATCCTCGGCACGGGCACGCAAACGGGTCTTGGATTTTTACCTAAAAAAATAAGCACACGCCATGTCGGTATTTCATAAATAAAATAACCACGAAAAAACAATTTTATTATACATTCGTGGGTGTAGGGAGCGCGAAAAAGGAAAAAAAAACTATACCAGACACCGTCCTTGTGTAGAGTAGCCGGTCGTTGATCATAACTTTGGCGGTGAAGGCAAACTCGTCGGGATCGTAGGTGACATTAACGCAGGCCTTTTGTTGCAATAAGCTGAGCAAGACGCGGGAACAGCACGAGCATACCCCACCGCCGCAGTTACACCGGCCCTGCCTCGTTGCCGAGACACTGGTGACGTTGGTTGGTGGTCCGAGATGCGCTTGCCGGATCACCTCTGGCAGTTCCCTCAGCTGAGACAGGTCCCGCATGGCCATTACGTTTTGATAGGCCGGCTTGAATCCCACGGGTTTTTTTGCCCTCTTGATCAACTCCCAAGCCCTGGATGTGACCAACAATGCCATGACCAAACTCAGGAGGCTCACCAGATTTATCGGGCTCAGTTTTCTCGGCATCATCGCTGGATCGATTGGTTGATTGTGTTATTATTTGTGAGCATTAGATGGTAGTGTGTAGGTTTTTTTTTTTTTTTTTTTTTTTTTTTTTTTTAACAAGGAATCAATTGTGTATTATTGGTACGCGATTATACACGTGTGATTGAGCACTTTGTACGGCAAAATTTTTTAACTGGAAGGTATTTTACAAAACATACAATTTTTTTAATTAAAACTGATTGGCGCGTTTAAATACAATTGAAGTGTACAATTTATTAATTGCAATACTTGTCGAAACAAACATTTTAAACTAAATTTTACTACAATTTATACGACCTATTCTGTGTTTTCGATTTCATAGCATTTAAAACTCGTCATTTGATAGTTTTCTTCGGATGACATGTTTCAGATAAACAAATGAAAAGCTACGCATTTAATTGGGCGATATGAACGGCGGAGTATCTTGATTTCTTTCCGAGTTGTCGGAGCATAATGCACAATGTGAAAGTCGAGATTAAGATTCAAAAACGATGAGAAACACTCATATGTTGTATCTAACTCAGATAAGAAAAAAAAAAAAAAAAAAAAAAAACAACTAGTTAAACGTGTTATTTTACGTGTCCACGTGCTTGTAATTCAAGAGATTTTGTGATGTTATCGGATATAAAATGAACCGATTCGAAAGAAATTGCACGACATGAGGTGCACCAGAAGTTGTTTACGAATTGTTACTTACTTATTATAGGGGTAACGCATGTATTTGCAGATAAACTTTTTGATTGCTAAATAATTACAGTGAATGCCTCGTTTGAAGTTTTTGGTATACCTATTTTATGTGCTTGTCAAACTTTTCAGCGCCGTAACAAGGTATCTCGTACCGGTATTAGTGTTTCGAAATACCGTTTTTTTTAATGAGGTGGTTGGAAAGTTTACGCGATGAGTTTGACAAAGCTGTATAATTTTATGGTTGGTCATAATGATA